TTCTAGCCAACTCAGAATACAAATTAAGAAATATTTTATCATTATTTGTCAACAACTGTGATGGATATGGTCTAAGAGTAAACTACACAAAAACCAAACTAATCACCTCAAATACTGATGCGAGTCACTTTAACCCCTTTAACTTTGAGGGTAATACGATAGAATTAGTGTCAGATTTTAAATACCTAGGAACCAGGATAACGTCATTAGGCCTCACCTTTTTTAGATACGAAATCGAGAACGAATAATGCTAGACTCCGCTATCATCAACTGTCGAAATTATGGTCATCCAACCAAATATCAACTAATTTAAAAATAAGACTCTTCAAGTCCCTAATTGTACCCATTTTTACCTACGGCCTAGAGACTTGGCAAGACTCAAAAAGTAACATCAGCACAATTCAGACTTTTATAAACAAATGCCTTAGAAGAATCACCAAAACGTATTACCCATACAACACATCAAATACAACGCTCTGGAATAGATGCGACATCCTACCAATCAATCGTCTCATACCCATGAGGAGACTAGAATTACTAGGCCATAGCTTAAGACACTCGCAGGAAAATATGATATTCTCGTCCTTGAAATGGTGCCCTGACGGTAGGAGGAAAACCCCTAAATACTATTGGTTGGCGAAATGTCTGAAAGATATGGACCTGATTAACCTCTCGTTTGCAGATTTCATGGCACTTAGCAAAAACAAGAAACACCTAAAGGAACATTTACAATACATGCTAAAATATGGCCTAAATTAATATCGCAACCGTTCTTCACCTGTACGTTCTTGCAATAAATGGAATAAGTGTATTTGATAATGATAATAACCTGAACAACAACAACATAACTTAACTTCCTTTAATAACCCACGACCTTCCTTTCTGGACACACGATATCGGCGACGATAACGATAACAATTACGAAAATATTAGCTGTATAACAGGCAATGAGAAGATAAACTGGCTATAATAATAACGCAATAAATCGGACGAACCCAAATACCATTGGCACAGAACATACAAGATCTACAGGACATACAATATTTTGGCACACCGAACAACAAACAAGGAAGAGACTCTTCATGCAAACTTAACATAAACTCTCAATACTTAACAAGATATAAGGGTTATTTTTTTTGGTGCCTCACTAAATACCACTTAAGGACGCAGGTACATTTTTTATATGACATTATTTTTATTTTTTCCTTAACACTATTCTGCCGGAAACGGAACTAATACATCACCATTATTGTACTTCTTCCTTCTTCACTTTGCTAACAGGCTACATAGTGGTACCGTCCACTATAATAAAACGGGTAGACATCATGTATGGGATCTATATACTAGTGAAAATACATGATGCACGCTTCAACTCCTGGTGGGTGATGAAATTGCACTTCGTGCAATTTCTGGCGTGGTAATGAATGAATGAATAAATTTTTCATCTGACATTTGGACTAGCCCAACACAGGTTCCTTTTTAGGGCTAACAGCCCATTTTATTGATGATAATTTTAAAATAAATAACATAATTTTGTGTCAGTCCAATAAATGAAACACATTCAGGTGAAAATATATTTAAAGCCTTTGTTAAAATAATTAAAAATTATAATTTAGAGAATAAATTTTTTTTATATAACTTTAGATAATGCAACTAATAATAAAACATTTATTGATACATTTTCTTTAAAATATCCATTAATAAGATGCTTTGCCCATGTAATTATTATGTAATTAATTTAATATCCAAAGAAATTTTAAAAATTTTAGATCCTTCAATTCTAAAACTAAGAAACATTATTAGAATGATTCGTAATTCCCCTAAAAAATTAAATTTATTAAAAAATATATGTAGTTCCCTACACCCTCCCCTAAATTTTTTAAAACCAAAATTGGATTGTGAAATAAGGTGGAATACCAAATGATTGAAAGGGGTTTATTGTTAAAGCCTGCTATAACAAAATTAGTTAATGAAGTAATAACTAATATTAAAATTATTCAAAACAAATATCAGAGGTAAACTAAAATTTATAATTAGGTAATAATATAATACTTTGATAACATATAGAAAGAATGGGAGGATCTTATAAAAATTAAAACTATCCTATTGCCTTTATATGAAACTACAAATATGGTATGTGGGGAGAATTATCCTACTTATAATTTGGTTATACCTTATTATATTTTAATTCTTGAACATCAAAAAATGAAAAACCTGGTTTCCATAAATCCTTTAACAATAGTTTCAAATTAGCATGTTATAAATTGTTGGGCTATTATAATTTAACTGCCGATGATGCAATAATAACCACAATATTAGATATCAGGCTTAAATTAGAATATTTTAAATCAATATCTGTTGATTATGATAATGATGTATCCAAGTTAATGGACAAATTTAAAGAGATTTACAATAGATATACAGGTATTTAATTTACCCCAATTTAAATATGATTTATTTTATAAGCTCATAATTATAACTGTCAAACAAATAAGGATAAAATTCAACAAAACAGGCTAGACATTGTTTTTAAACAAAATAATATTCAACTGTGTGAAATGGATTTTTATCTGAGTGAACCAAGAGCAAAGAGTGATAATGACCCGTTAATGTGGTGGAAGGCAAATGCATATCGGATCCCCATACTCTCGAAAATGGCAAGGGATTATCTATCTATACAAGGAACATCAACTGCTTGTGAAAGGCTTTTTTCAGTTGGAACTAATTTTTTGTCAAAAAACCGTATGTTATATAAGGAAGAAAATATAAGAAAAACTCTTTGCCTTAAAAATTGGCTTAAATTATAAATTAAATTAATAATATACATTTTAATTTTGCTTATAACTTGATTATATATTATTTATTATCAGATTATTGATTACATATTATTATAATTTTTTCTGTTTAAAATCAAATTTGTAATAAAAAAATTTGTCAATATATTTGAGCATGATTTATTTTATTATAAAAATTAATTGAATCGAATACAAATCGTAGATTTTATTATTCGTACGTATTCAAATAGTAAATTATTCGATTCGTTTAAACGAATCGAATATGAATAATGCACTATTAGATTCGAATTCGTTTTTGAATAGGCCTATTCCCTTGTTTCAGTCCTTGTTAGAGCCAAACAGGTAGAAAGTAAAATTTTCTCAAGCAAACAACACAATAAAGTGAATATTTTTCTCTTAAGTAAATAATTATTAGTTGAATAGTAGACAAAATCAACAGAAAGTTATTTCTTACTAGTACAAATGATCCCTTAAAAAAATTCCTTTTTGAAATTTGAAATGTAAATAAAATTAAAAACAATCAGAGGCCTGCAGAGCTACCTTTTGCATGGCCCAGCCAGGATTTTTTTCAAAAAAAAATTTGCAAGCTAGCTAGGATTTATGTTTTCAGCCTAGCCAAACCCAGAGCTTTTTTTAAAAAAAAATTTCAGCCTGCTCAAGATTTTTTTTAAATATATTTTTTTATTTTAAATTTTTTATAGCTAATGGTGATTTAAAATATATGGCCCAGGTATTTTTTAAAAAATATTTCGTAGGCCCAGCCTGGATCAGGTATTCTGGCCCATGTACCCGGGCCTGAGGTCTTTGAAAATAATACAGCAATTATGTTTTAATCTTGTTTCTCATGTTATATCATTAGATCAATAAAAATGGACTAATTAAGAATGGGAGATGTAAAGATAATCTAGTGCTTAATTTCTACTCATTATCAACCATTAAATTTTCCCCATATTATTTATAAAATAAATAATAACTTTTAAAGTTTCTATTAAATGATCTATTACCATAACATGGTAAGTTTCTGGGCAATATAATTCTATGAATGTCAAATGCATAAAAAAGAAATGTTACCTTGTACCTTTAAATTCTATTCCATATGTGGTAGGTGAAATAAATTATCTCACTCAACAGGGTAAGCCGAGCCTGGTAAATCCTAGAAAAAAAATTTTGGACAGTGCTAGGAAAAAGTAGATACCCAACCTACTTAATAGAGATTAAAGAATATAAAGAAATTATTCTAAAGTCAATTTTGTTAAAATAATATTTTTTTATTGATTTATATTTTTAACAATGACAAATTATCAAATTTTTTTTTTCATTTTAATTTAATCTCAAAACAAGATCATAGGATATATTTCTCAATGTATTAGACTTAGATGAATTCTGATATTTGATAGAAGTGATAATTCATAAAGTAGTGTTTTTAATTAAACCACTCCCCAATATATTTTGATGTTCAATCATAAATATTTCAGGTTATGCCTTAAAACACTGACCATTTCAAAAAATGAGGACAGGCAACCTTAGTAAAAAAAATAAAATCAGGTTGGATCAGGCAAAAATTTTGCAGGGCCCGGCAAAAACTAAATTCTCACTAGGCATGGCCTGACCTGAGAATTTTGCCATATACAGACCACTATTGAAGTAGGACTAGGTTCATCCTTAAAAAATGGTCATGATCCATCAAAAATGTTAATAAAGTCCTTCAATGAAAAATATGCAGAAAAAAATAGTTGGTAAAAAAAATAATATCTAAAAAAATAATCAGATAAATTTTTCATCTGATATTTGGATCAGCTGAACTTAGATTTCTACTTTAAAAATAAGAACCCATTTTATTAATAGTTTTAAACTAAATAACATAATAGTGCAATAAAAATTTGAAAAAAAACTGCCAATCTATTTAATATAAATTTATTTATAATAAAAAAAACTAGAATCAAATACAAAGAATGTATTGTTCTCGATTTCAAATAGGCTTACACCATGCTAAATATTTCTTAGATATAAGCAAAGCTATCTTAATAGCCTTATCCAAAAAATATATATCCCTCATTGGAAAAAATAGTGCTTAATCAAAGCTGAAAAATAAGTTTTATAAAAAATTAGGTTATATTTTTTGCATGGTAATTTCTTTCTGAAATAGCAAGTAATATGCCAAATATTTTAGCATTTTAAATGTGTTTTATATTAAATAAAAATTACCTTCATAAAACATTTTTCCACCAAAAAGAAAAAATAAGAAAGTAGATGAATATACAACTATATATCTTGGGATATTGGTAGCTAGCATTCCCATACAAGCTTTATAAATATGATAAATAAAATATATTTTTATTTTTTAACTTTTAAAATAAGTTTATATTTAAAAATTAAATATAGGTTATACACTTGAATTTCATTTCTCTTAATGAAAAAACTTTATTAATCATTTAGAGAAATATCAATAATGTTATTACCTGAACAAATAGTTTAAAACTGTCATTACAGCATAAAAAAATACTGATTAATTACTTTTATGTAAAAATAGTTATCTTATACATGCCTGACAATCATTTATATTAATTACCAGATAAAATTGTCATAACTATCAATGCTGATATAGCTCCTGAAAACACAATTAATCTAGAGTGCCTCATAGCCATAATAGCCGCAATAAAAAAGGTCTTGTCACCCAATTCTGATACAATTGTAATAGACAAAGAACTAAAAAATGCATGATAAAAGCTGTCAATTGGATGGATATTTAATGTAGTATTTGATTTGGTTGAGTAATATTGAGTGAAAGTGTTATTATCTTTAAATATACGATTTTTATCCATTTCTTGGGGTGTTACCGCTCTCTAGAAATATTACTACCCGAAAAAATAATAGATTATAAAATGGAAGAATTATTTATTTCATATTTTTACATTTTCAGAGATGCTACTAGAGCGTGTAAGAGCTTGACCCAGTCAAAATTTTTAAAAATATAAATCATAATTTTGTCTTTTTTAAAGCACTATCCAGCCCAATGACAATTGATCCAGCCAATAATATATATTAATAAGTCGTTCATTCGTTAAAACCATACCGTATTTTGCACGTCGAATATTTTCGATTAAATGATACTAATGTGCATTCAAATGCTAAAATGACCCCTTCTAATTATTCAATCGCTAAATTATAAAAAGTATAAAATGTAATTCAAAAATGAATTCTTTAGTTAAAATAAATGAAAAGTCAATTGCTTTCCTTATAGTAAACTTCACGCTTCATCACTGAGTCGCTTACTGTCCTTTTTCAAACGCATTCAGTGTCTTATATAATGAAATCCGAATTGGACACTAAAATATATTATTAGAAGAGAATTTACTACTTTAATATATAATATAACCAGTATCGTAACAAGGGGGGGTGGGGGTCTGGGCTATAGCCCCCTTAAAAATTTGAATAGCCCTCTGAAGCGTAAAATTTTTTTTTATTAATGGCTCCCTAATATCCATCTGAATTAAAAATAATTTTTTGATAGCCCTTTGAACGATTTCTTTTATAATTCTATTAAATATTATATATATACATTTGATTTTATTATTTAAAAATTAATTAGACTATCTAAATTTTTATAAAATGAGTGCTATTTTAATTATTAGATTAGAATAATGTAATACATATAAATTATATTTTATTATTTGAAAATTAACAAGACAATCTGAAATATTTTGGGGGGTTATTTATTAAATTTTGAGATGAAATAGGACAAAATTTATTGCTGTAAAAATTAATACTTTTATTATAGTATTATTATAATACAATTCATCGACAATCTATATATTGCAAACAATCATACCAGAGTTGTACATTTGCTCAAAATAAAAAGGTCTTTGAAGATCGTAAAATTTGAAGATCTTTTATTTTTTAAAAATTTTGTGTAACGATCTTCATGATATTTATTTTTTTACCCCTTTATTAAAAGCCCAGATGTTTTTCAATTTTATTAATATAATATTTCTTTTATGTTTCATACCTTTCCTCCTGCCTTGATGAAAATTGAAAAACATCTGGGCTTTTAATAAAGGGGTAAAAAAAAATAAATATCATGAAGATTTTTGAAGATCGTTGATCGCAGCGATCTTCAAAGATCCAAAGATCTAGATCTTTGAAGATCGTTACACAAAATTTTTAAAAAATAAAAGATCTTCAAATTTTACGATCTTCAAAGATCTTGCTCAAATTTTTGAGCTAGATCTCGCTCAAAAATCTTCAAAGAAGATCTTTTGTACAACTCTGAATCCTACACATTGTTTTCCAAATATCCTTTTAAATGTAATTTAAAAGGTTTAGATATTTCAGCAAGGTCATAATGCCATGATAATTAATTCATTGTAAATAATTGAGGTTTTAATTGAATTTATTATCTAAAAAATAAATTCTTTCACAAAATATCGATAGTTGGTAGTAGAGATAGATTAATTTAAGTTATCCTTTATAAATTCTTTGAAAAGAGTATCAATAAATAAATAGGTGAAAATAATGATAGAGACACTGCCGCCGAAGTTGGCGGGAATATTTTAGGGGGATGGGCAAAGGTTTTTGAAGGGGGTTTGCATCCAGTAAAAATTATGTCATGTAGACGCTGGAGACACCGCCGCCGAAGGCGGGATTAATTTTTTAGGGGGGTAGGTAAAGGTTTTTGAAGGGGGTTTGCATCCAGTGAAAATCTGTCATGTAGACGCTGGTTGGAATAAATCTTGAGTTTTTTATTTTAGAGATTACCAATAAAATTTAATTGAAGAGCTTGAGAAAATCATCAGTTGAGGTTAGGATTCATTTGATTATTTTACTTAATTACATTATTAACTAATTATTATAATATATTGATATTTTATAAAATTTATTATCTTCTTGATATAGCAATATAAAATTGTTAAATTTTAAAAAATATTTATTATTAACGAAGCATTTGATCAACGTACAAGCTACAAAATGGCGCTACAGCTGATTTCAATGTTAGGACGTTTTTTATGCATGAATCGCCAATCAATTAAACAGCATCTATTATTTGCATGTCAATGTAATTTAAGATTATTACTCCTGCTGCTGAGAGCATTTGATTACATAATTTAGATAAGCAATAATGGTCAACTGTCTAGTCGGTCGGGTATATATCATTAAAAATGGAAGATAATCTTTTAGAAATTTAATATCTCACAATAATTTTCTCGATTACAATGTCTTCTAGGTCTAACAACCATATAGTATATTAATGATAGATACTTCCTCAAGGTAGTACCTATAAAATTTGTATTTTGTTTATTTTTCATTTGGAAAGATACTATCAAATTTATTTGTAATATATAATTAAAAAATCATGATTTTTCTAAAGTATCTGTGGCAATGTCGGCAAGAGCGTCGCCTACTAATCCGATGATTCTGGGTTCGAATCCCAACAAAGAACTCTTTTTTCCTTATTCAAACTTGGTGGTTCTGTCCTTGGGGGGATGATATATAAGAGGACAGACTCGACCATGTGATACCTAAGGATTTTATTTAGTGCTGTAAAGTCACGTCAAAAAAGTAACATCGTTACATTTTTTGAAGAAAAGGAACTCCATTCGTTACCTTCTTCTAAAGGTAACGAGTAACGGTAACGCCTTTTTTGTAACGGTAACGCAAAACGTTGCTCGTTACTTTCAATTTTTTCTTAAAAAATGTCATTGAGAATTGTATAGAAAATTTAAAAAATATTTAATTTTAGAAATCATGGGTGATATTTTAAAAATTACATTAAACATATTTTTCTTATTTAACACCTTTCGGCGAATTTATTTTTAGTATAAATATTAACGTTTTATTTTATCGTATGAACATTATTTTAAAATCAATTTATTTTGACAATTGATATATTTTTTGATATCAAGTTAAATTCAATTTTAAACGAACATTTCCATTTTATATAATTGGTTATTTCATGATTTTTTTATTTTTTAAAAAAGATATAAAAGGAATATTTTTTTGGTTAAGGAGGATAAATAAAATGTAATTCATAATAATAAAAAAAGAGATAAAATGTAATTTATTTTAATATGGATAATAAAAATGTAATTGTAATAATATAACGAATAAAAATGTTATTATATGTTAATTCTTCTAAAAAATTTATAAGCCACCTCATATACTTAAAAAAATAGATAATTTTACAAAAATGATAAAAAAAACTATAAAAGATTTCCCCTAAGAGATTGTTTATTTATAATAAAATTCATAAAAGAATTCCTCAAAAAAAATTTATTTGCAAAGATGATTTAAAATTCTCATCTAATCAAAACATGTTCAAAAATCTTTTTGAATTTCAAAAAATAATTTTTGCTTAAAATTTTGGGCGTGAAAATCAATAATAAATTGTAACATAAATAATATTAGCATATCATTTTTTCTATCAACAAAACATCAAATAAATAAATCCATTTTAATATTTCATTTCATAATATAATAATCTAAATAAAAAATATTAAAACATATCATAATAATTAAATATTAACATTAAATATAAATAAAATAAATTATTTTACTATAAATAATAATTAATGCTAGGCTTATCTTACGGAACGCTGACATACGATTAGCTGATGCAGAATTTTTGACTAATTAAGTTTAAGCCGATTTCATATCTAAGCCTAATTAGATTTAGCCGATATTTAGGCTTAGCCTAATTTGTGATCCCTAGGGCTTTCTTCTAGAGTACTAGTAGTGGAGACCGGTGATATACAGCAGGCGTTTTGCTCTTTCTCGATAAAATTTTAATTTTGTTTTAGAGGATAAAATCAATCGTATCATTGGATTGGATAACCACATCATTAGACTACAGAATAAAAAACCCGGGCTTTCCTTTTATTGTGGGTGCTATTTAGGGTTAAGTAAAAGTAGTGATTTTTACTATTTACCGATGACCCTGGGTAAGATAGCAAATATAATATTTGACATATAAAACAAAAATTTTTTAATTTTTATTGTTATAATACACATATTATTTAAAAATGTCAAATGTTTTTAAAAAATTAATCTTTACAATAGAGGCACACTTAAAATGTAACCTTCCTAGCACAACTTGCATTCGGGACATTTGGAACTCTTCGCATTTTTTATTTTAGTTATAATTTTTACTGCACACTTCACAATTTCAATTATTTATTATTTTTTTATCGTTTTTAGATTTTAATTTTTTCCGAAGCAATTAAATGCTCTTTTATTTGACATTTTACACCCTAGGGTTTAACCCCGGGAGTAGGGAGTTCGCCTAATTGGCTGTAGAAACCTTTCTAGACTAGAAACTTCGCACTAAATTTAATCCGTAGCTAAGACATTGGTAAATATGGCATATAAATTTCATAAAATATGAAGAAGTAAATTTTCCTCAAGCCAAAAAGTACTTAAATGAAAGTTAAATTGTTTTTGATCAATATTTTTGAATAAAGAGATCCCATTTCTAAATAAATCTATAATAAATATATCCTTCGATCAAATTAAAAAATCTATAGCCGTTTACCTTTATACCCCGCCTGCTGGATAGTCCCAGCCTTTCCTGCTCTAATGTAGCAAAGGTCAACGATCAGGTGCTATCGGTTTTAGATTGATATTTTGTTATATTTACTTTTATTTTTGATCCTTCTTTTAGTTCATTTTTTTGCAATATACTAAGAAAACGAAGTCAAAAAACAATGTACTTATAGTTTCAATAAAAAAACGTAAAGTATGTTTTCACTACAATACCAAATTTAATGCGCCGTCAGCAAAGTTTTTTTTAAAATAATTTAATTTTATTCTATATAAAAATCATTAGGTACCTTAAGCATACATCTGATAAAACATCTAGTTTTTAACTATCATGGCTAAAATTTAAATAAAAATACATTTAAAATCCAATCTACTATTAATTTTTTTATGCCATCCACGAGCACAGAGTTATTTTCCTCATAGATAAATATTAAACTGAACATTATGAACTAAATGATATAAAAATGGTTTATAATAAAGATAATTGAATATCCG